GCTCTCCTTTATCAGCCACCCGCAGTCCCCCCCACCATGGCCACCCTGCTGCGGGCTGCGATAAGGGCCAGGGGCTGTGCAGACACCAGCACTGCGGCACCCAGCTCCGCTTCGCTGCCTGTGCTTGTTTTCCTGCCCTGACACCCCCTACCCCGCTGTGGTTCAGGGCCCAAAGAGCAGGACCTGGGGCTGAGCCCCGTCCACTCCCCTTGCAGTCCCCCATGCCCGCTGTCTCCCCCAGCCTGCCAGCCCCCCAGGACCCCTCCAGAGTGACACCCCAGCAATGCAGCATTAGGTGGAAACAGAAGAAGTCCTACGATGTCCCACAGCCCTGCGTGCTGGGCATGCACAGAAAGATGCCCTTGCACTTGGAGGTCCTCAGCGTGTCCTCGCTGTGCCGCCACGCAGAGGGTCACAGGCACTGGAAGCCCCTGATCCCCACCGTCTCCTGCAAGTGCTTCCAGTACAAGGTGATCTCCAACAATTTGGCCTGAACAGGGGCAAGGAGCGTACAGGGTGCGTGGGACAAGAGGGGATCCCAGCACGTTGCTCTGGTGAGAAGGCTGGGACAGGCTGGGGCTGCATCAGGGGGCCCTCCATGTTCGGACCCCCGGAGCAAATCCCTCCCGCTCCCTCCCCGCAGGCAGCAACCAGAGCAGGACGCCAGGGCTGGAGCGCAAATGCAACAGATTTTATTTCAGATCATTTGGCTGCTCGCTGTCGGAGGGCTGGCAGTAGGTTGGGTCCAGCTCTAGCCATGGTGCCGTCTTAACGGTACTTGGCAGTCAGCACGTCTCCATGTTCGGACCCCCGGAGCAAATCCCTCCCGCTCCCTCCCCGCAGGCAGCAACCAGAGCAGGACGCCAGGGCTGGAGCGCAAATGCAACAGATTTTATTTCAGATCATTTGGCTGCTCGCTGTCGGAGGGCTGGCAGTAGGTTGGGTCCAGCTCTAGCCATGGTGCCGTCTTAACGGTACTTGGCAGTCAGCACGTTGCCCACAGCACACAGGAACTTGTCCAGGGAAGCGTGGACCTCCGGGGTCAGGAGAGAGGGGTGGTGGATGGCCACCACCACCAGGAAGCATTGGCCCAGCAGCTGAAAGGCAAAAGGAGATGGTGAGCAAGGGGGTGAGGCAAGGGGGTGGCCAGGGGGGTGCAGGAGGGGAGCCGGGCTGGTCACCCCTTCCCAGACGCTCACTTTGAAGTTGACGGGGTCCACGCGGAGCTTTTGGGCGTGGAGGTCGCTGAGCTTGGAGAGGGCACTCGCGATGTCATCGATGTGGTTGGCAGCCTCGACCAGTGCACCCGCCACCTTCTTGCCGTGCGCCTTGATCTGAGCGGAGCCGTGGTGCAGGTCGAAGGAGGTTGTCCATGTTCTTGACGGCATTGCCCAAGGCGCCCACCACCTTCTTGCCGTGGCCACGGATCTGTTCGGAGCCGTGGTGCAGGTCGAAGTGGGGGAAGTAGGTCTTGGTCTGGGGGTAGGTGGAGAACATCCTGGAGGACAGAGGGGGTCAGGGATGGATGGGGATGGGGACAGGTAAGACAGGGCAGGGTCACATAGGACAGGGACAGTGGTGGATGGGGAGAGGATGGGGGCAGATGGGAGGGAGTTGGGGACAG